TAATATTATAATTTAATTTTTATTTTATTATATAAATTGTATAACTAAAATTTAGTATAATAGTTAGACTATATAAAGGTAGTATTAGTAAAAGTGGAGGTGGTATTAAAAGATCTCTAAATATATTTATTATTTTAAAAAACAACTAATTATTATATTAATTATATACAACTTTCGTAGTAAAATCATAGGTTATAAGCTAGTTGGGGTATATAAAATATCTATTCTTGAGTAGAGGCCAAGTTCGAAATTTCTCTTGCAGTCTCACTGTGTTCAGTGCAGTATCTTGCAATAGAATGTTATGCTAAAGCTTATCCTTAAACAAAATTAAGTGACCTATGCTTTTCAGTACAGATCTCGGTATAAATACTATAACTTTTTGAGATAACTGATTATTTGTTATTAATCTCAAAGTAGACACATATTCCTGTACATGACTTTTCTTTTTTAGCAGTGATTGTTGTTATTGATCCTTTGATAGTAGTATGCCAACTTTTCCACTTTTTGTTAAAATTTTGTAAAGAACAAAAAATAGGGCTTTGGTAAAGGGTTTCAGTTTGCAGATATCCTTAAACTTCAGTAAAAAGTGTGTTGAAAACTCACTTGTTGTTCTCTTTAGACCAACTATCTTTAACTTTGTTAGCAAAAGAAGAGCTTCTATTAAAATATTCTGTATGAGAGCACTACCTTTTCACCAGTTATCTTGTACAGAAATACTTTTAACTTGTATACTGAATATACAGAAAAGTCTGAGAGAATAAAAACAAAAATCTTGAACTCTGTAAAACCGTTATTTGTAATTGTCTCTTCTATTTTTCTTTATCAAGTTTCTGTTTTTGTTAGCTGTAAGTTTGGTATGAGTAATTGTTAAAGAGAGTTGTTGATAATTTTTTTTTAAATTTCATATATATAAATTTTATAAAACTTATTTAAAGATTTTTTAAAAACCTATCTGGTTATTAAAATATATAAAAAATTTTTTTTACAAGATTTTAAATTTTGATTTAGATAGATTATAAAAATTAATTACCGTATTTTCGCATAATAATGCGCAGGGGTGTAATTTCAAATTTTGGCCTAAATTAAGCTTAATTCGGGCCAAAATTCGAAATAACGCTCATAGGCATTATTACGCGAAATACGGTAATTAATTTTGTATAGTCTAATAAAAATTTTTAAATAAAAACTTTAAAATTTTATTATTTACTAATTTTTTATGTTTTATTTTTATTTTTTTTTAACCTTTACAATATCACATAAAAATGAATTTTTATTAGGTTATAGTAATATATTTTTGGTTAATAAGAGTATATTTAGCTATATGTGCAAATTTTAGTTGCCTATTTAAGTAGTTTGTCTAAAGGTTCTACACTATATACTATATCTATAATCAGTGTTTGCATTTGGTCTATGTCCAATGCAATTTTTAATTGGACATGGACAAATATGGATATGAACTAGTCCAAATCGTGTCCATGTCCAAATGAAAAAAGTTTATAAAATGTAATCGATCACGTGACTATAAACCAATCATATTCCAGAATCTATTAACATTTCGATACTTAATTACCTAAAACTTTAGCTCCCAAAGTTGGATATCTGAAATTTTGACTTTTTAAACTTTGTCTCTAACTATTTGTTCTCTTAACTTACTGCAATTAACTATTTGACTGCCAATTGTTACAGCAGTGTTAAGTGAAATAATATCGATATATAATAAAACAGTATTTATTATAGCATAAATCATTGGTCGAAGATATGCAATTCGACCTTCTATATTTTATAACAATTCGGAGGTAAATTGGCATCTGATTTTTGGTTGATAGTTAAAGCTATAATCGATAGTTAGAAAAATTATAATTAAAAATTTTTTTGTGCAAAGTATACAGGTTTGCAAAAATTTTCACAAGTATAAAATATTGATTTATGGAAAGTTATATTTATAACACCATGTTATATAACACCCTATTATTAAACTGTATATTTACCCTAACATAAAACTCTAGCCCCAACTCAGATCAATACATATTCTATACTAGAGGTGTTATATAACACCGGTGTTATGAATATAAATTTTCTTGATTTATATATTTTTTTTATTATATAATTATATACAACTATTATAGTACTATTATTTCCTAATTACTATATTAATATCAAGAAACTAGAGCGACATTAAAAAACTAGGATACTAAAAAACTCGAATGATATTAAAAAACCAGAACACCAAGAAATTAAAACAGTACCAAGAAACTAAAACAATACCAAGAAACTAGAGCAGTACCAAGAAACTAGAGCAGTACCAAAAAACTAAAATAACATAAAGAACTAGAGACATCAAGAAAACACTAATAAAAAGAAAAAGTAAACAGATTTGTAAAAGAAAAAATAAATGAAAAAAAGCTAAAAAAAAAAAAAAAAAGTATACATCAGTATATACTTATGTAAGTCTGATAAAAAAAAATAAAGAAAAACGAAAAAGAAGATTAAAAAAAAACAAAAAAGAAAAGATCGCGTTATTATATATTCTGAACCATAAATGTTAACAATAGATTTTAACAATATGATTGTATAAACCCTGCATATTATTATTACATATTGTTAAATCCAGGAGCTCTAATTTGAACACAATTCTGCAAACCCACTGTGCCGATATGATTTTTTCAGTAATCAACCTAAAATCGGATGTCAATTCCCCTCTGAATTGCTATATAATTATTCGAGGCCAAATAGTGAGTAGAGTTTGGAACCGAATTCAATCTTCAAATTTAAATCCGATTTCCTTCGTATCTGATTTAAATTCGGATATAAAACCAATATTCTGAATCTGCAATACTCACATTATCTGCACAAACTCATAAAAAACAAAAGTATTCTACCATCGTTCTTAAGTAATCGGATGTTTTTGTCACCAAGTGTATATATGTATGTATATATATACATACAATGATGCTAGACACAACCTAGGCACAACCGAATATTATCGAATAAATTCAGATTAAAATCTGATGCATATTTTTATTAATTAAATTTAATACGAATCGAAAAGCGAAATCTGGTTCCAAACTCTAATAGTGAGTGGAAATTGGGACGATTTTTTTTTATATAGACGATTTTAGTTTTTTTTTAGGTTGATATTTACTAACATTCGACTAAGTCAATTGTTATATATTCGACTGGTGAATATTCAACATATAGTTTAATAAATAGAAGATAGTAAATGTATTATTATTCTTTGTTTATTAAATTTTTATGCATTTTTTATTTAATTTGTACACTAAAATAATAAGTGATCTTTTCTATTACAATCGAGCAGCACAACTTTGAAAAAAAAAAATCAATGATCACAGCTAGAGATGGGTTTGGTCAGCTTAGCCATTTTATAGCTGACCGAACCCATCCCTAATCACAGCTTCAAGTATTTGTTTTTATGATTAATCTTTTCGTTTGGTAAGCACATTGTTGAAGGTGCTTGAGAACGATCTAAATTAATCTATTAATTAAATCTGCGCTTTTACAATATTTTTCTATTGTACTTCCAATTTTATAGTTACTCTGGGAATATTACGAATAGATGAGGTAACGAAGAATGTGACTTGGCTAAATCGTAGTTAAAAATTGTGAACTGCATTACCAACATATAAAAAAGACTAATTCGGGTTTAATTCATGGTAAAACCTTATTAAAGAACAGCAAGGTGTCTTTGATTATTAAGAGATAGAACTAAAGAATGCCGGCAGTCGTAGTCGTGTATAAAAATAAGGAGCATGAAAGACTTACTATTAGCCATAAATTCCCTCTAACTTATGTAGTAAGGTTTTAGAATTTAATTATTAAAATCGTTGATAGACAATATAAACAGGTATGAAATACTTACTATTAGCTGTAAAATTCTCTTTAACTTATGCAGTAAGGTTTTATAATCAGATTATTAAATAACTAACAACGAAATGTAAACAGATATGAATAAACCTTACAATTATTAAGAGATAGAATGAAATAATGTTATAGTCGTATATAAAGTAAGGAGTATAAAATACTTAATATTAGTCGTAAAATTCTTTCTAACTTATTTAGTAAGGTTTTAGAATTTAATTATTAAAATTATTGATAATACAGCATAAACAGATATAAAATACTTACGAGTCATAATCAAAGGTTTCAGAGTCTTATTGTAAAATAATTTATAGCGCAATATAAATGATATGAATATTTACCGTTAACCATAAAATTGGAATAATATAACAAGTCATAATCGAAAGTTTCAGAATTTAATTGTTAAAATAATTGATAGAGCAACTTAAACAGTTTTAAAGTACTAAATGTTCTATTTTACTTTCTAATCTTATTTTTTTGGTTAATTTCAATCGTTCAATTTTATTACATATGAGAAAAGAGATTAGTAATTAAAAAGATACAAATCAAATAAATAGCACAAAAAATTTGCAAAAAAAAAAAAAATTGAGATTACATACAATTGAATTAAAAAAAAGTATGGGAAAACAACCTCACCGTCTGACTGACTTTATAATCATACTTGATGAAAAAGCGAACAAAAGTAATAAATTTTGTATTTGTAAATGTTGTGTATCAGGCTTTTCATATAACGATGCAATGAACAATAAGTTTGCAAATACATAAGAGCTTGTTCGCCGCCATTTAAAAAATTATATTTACTTTAAGCAAACTTATAGTGAATCTGAGCAAGCAGAAATTCTAGAAAAGTCTGATAAATTAAATAGAGAAGGTTAAGTAATTATTAATTATACTCATAATTTAAAATCGCTTTTATTAATTAACATATTTAATTTAGATTCTCAAAAGAGTTCTGATGATAATACTATTCCAGATATTTCTTCATCATCATTAGAGAATTCTACATTTACATCAAATCAACAGTTTTCAAATAAAAAACATACAATTGATCGATATTGTTTACGACCTTTAAGTAAAGATCAACAAAAACAATTTGAGCAGCTTTTACTTCAGGCGACTGTCTCATGCGGTTGGGCTTTCTCTTGGATAGATAACCCTGAAGTAAAAGCATTTTTTAAATTTCTTCATCCCTTAGTTAAACTACCTTCACAAAAAGATCTTAGTGGTCGAATTCTGGAAGAATCGGCACAAAAAATAAATATTTCCATTCAAGAAGCAGCTCAAAAAGATACAAATGGTGTTACATTAGCGTATGACAGTTGGAAAAACATAAAAAAAGAATCAATTTTAGGGAGCATTTTAATTACTTCAATGGGTAAGGTCCTTATTTGGAATGCGGAAGATATATCGGATGAACGTACAAGGTGGTTTGATGTGCAGCATAAGACAGAGGATATACTTAATAATTTAAATAAAGAAGGGATTAAAGTTAATGCTGTTGTCACAGATTGCGCATCTCAATATGAAGCAGCAAGGTAATATTATATACAAGTAAACTAATTCAATACAGTGAAACCTCTATAAGTGCATCCTCTATAAGTGCATACCCTTTCCAAATGCACACTTAAATTTGGGCCCAAATCTATATATGACCTCCATAAATGCACCTTTTCTTATTGTTCTCTAAGTGCATGTCATTAAAGTTCAGTCCCAAGAGCATGCACTTATGGAGGTTTTACTGTATATTATTACTATTTGTACACTATATTAAAATTTTTTTAAAATCTTTAGAAAACGTTTATGACGAATACACCCTGAAAACATATTTATTCTTTGCTTCACTCATCAGATGAATCTGTGTATTGGAGATATCTTCAGAAATTCAAACAAATTTTCAACTGTTGCGGAGCAAGCTATTCATCTTGTATCTTTTTTTAACCGATCAACTTTTTTTTTAGGTCGTCTTCGTTCAGAACAACTAGCTTTATATAAATCTTATGTTTCTTTTGTGTTGCCAAATTGTACATGATGGAATAGTCATTATTTGTGTTTTGCCAGTATTTTTAGAACACGTGCTGCTCTTAAAAATTTAGCAACAAAGATAGAAGAAGGCAATGATGAAGATTTTAATAACTTTCCTGAAATTCTTCTTACTTATATTTCAAACAATGAATGGTGGAATAACCTTATGCAATTAAAAACTCTTCTCGAACTATATATGGCATCATTGAACAAGCTTCAGCGAGATAAGGGTCGCCTTTCTGATGTTTTGCATAGTTTCGGCTGGGTATGTCAAGTGATTAAAAATCTTTCTGATGGCGCTCTTAGAGATTATTTAATCACAAAATTAGAAAAGCGATGGTTAACCTGGGAACAACCATTGCTACTTTTGTCATTTTTATTACATCCATTTTATTGCACTACTCAATTTAATCAAAATATTGATAATCTTTCTTTTGCATATATGGGACGTTGGATTATTTACTATTATAAAAATTGGTTCAATAAATCTCTGAATTCAATTCTATCTGAATTGCAATATTATGAAAGCCAAGAATATCCATTTAATCAAGAAACTTTTAACCAATTTGGTGGTAATGTGCTAAAATATTGGAATTTTTGCAAAGGAATTGCTCCAGAATTACATCTTGTAGCAGTTCGAATTTTTTCAGTTTGCATAACAACGGCATCAGTAGAACGATTATTCTCTACTATGGGGTGGTACTATTCTTCACGACGCAATCGGCTTAAGGTAAATTTGTTTGATATATGAGATCTTTGTCTTGAAAATGACCTTACGATACATGATGCCGTAAGGTCATTTTCAAGGCAAAGACCCCATATATACATATATCTGGTTAACTATTTTATATTTATTACATTTATTTATACTATATGTATAATTTAACATAATAGCATAAAAAAGTTCTTGCTATGAGCCAACTAAGATCAAAACTTACCCGTTCACGAAACATTGCAGCTATTGACAAATCATTAAAGATATATAAACAAAACATTGCAATTCCGGTTGAAGAAAATGATGAACAAACGAGTTTAGATGAAGACACAGAAGAAGAGCAATTAATTAGTCTATCAGAAAATGATATGGATTTAGAAAATCCTGGAAAGCAAATTCAGACGAATGTTAGTCATTTCAATATAGTTAAAAGCATAAATAACTAGAATGCAATTGTAAATCAATGGGTTAGTCTAAATGAAGAGAAGGAAGTTGAAGATGACTTAAATGAATCAGAAAGTCTGTCTGAATTATATTTTGATGAAGTAGAATTTCATCCTGTGGATGACTTTACAGCCAAGTGGAAGCTAGCAGATCTTTTTGTAGATTCACTAGTACAACCTGCTCATATTAATTTACTTTTGGGTGACTAAAGCATAAATTAAATTAAGTTATATAATAATAAATTAACAGTATTAGAAATTAACATTACACAGAACTTTCAATTTAAAATATATATTTTTTTTGTATTTGTTTGTTTATGCTTCATAACAAGTTTAATTACTGTTTAAAACACATGCATAAACAAGTTTCAATATTTTTTACATATTCCTTCTGATACTTTATTTAGCTGTTCAAGATAAATTATTACTTGTATAATTGTTATGCAAGTAATCTTAACTTATCCAAGGCTATACTGGTTTAATACAGGATCAATAAATTTTCCTATCAAAAGTTACTACGTACGTACGTACGTACGTTGTGAGAGGGAAAATTTGTCCAAGGTCGACGACAAGGTGGCTTGGGTCGATCGACCCAAACATCGACCAAATCTGCCAGATATGGCAGAAATGGTAGAAAACGGTAACACATCTGCCAGAAATAGCAGATATGGTAGATTCGGTAGATGAAATATGACGAATAGGGCATATATAGTATATATGGTAGAAAAGTGCAAAGTAAAAATTAGTAAACGAAAATGTATTTAAACGCTACAAAAATCACTGTGAATAAAGCGACTCCATTGAGTTCTAAAGCTTCCCTTGAGTTCTTAACTAGTGTCCTGTAGTACTAAAAGTTACTTTCGTATTTCGTTTCGTCATATTCTTCTTGTCCCCGTGACTCGTTTTAGACCCGTAATCGTTATATCGTTCAAAGTAAAAGAGAAAGATCGAATTAGTAACTGACCCCTTTTTATATAAAACAATTACCTGATTACATCAGTGATCAATCCATTGTTAAATCATATATACGTAATTCGATTTTGATCGTAACTACGTAATCGTATTTCAGCATCCACTGATGCTGAAATAAATCACATGATCCAGTGACCCTTAGAACAAGCAGTATACCTAAAAATTAAGAAAATACAGTAAAGTCATTAGTATTGAACCAAGTTACTAAACACAAGAACTACTCGCTTAAAGTAAAGAGATACTTATCCAAGCCCGGTAATAACCCACAAGACCCAAAAACCTCAAAACTCGGACCAAGTCTAACCACGCCTCGATCGAAGCCTACCAATTTCGAGATTTTAGGTCTTGTTAGAAGTTGTTTTGGTAGTATCGAGTTGCCTATTACTCTATTTAGTGATATTAAGGTCAAAATAGACTTTCACAACGTACGTATTATATATGCATTTTTGAGTTCTGAGTCACATTAATTTACATTAAAAAAAATAAGGTAAGCGATAGAATGAGTAGAATTGGAGTAATATATCAAGTAATTAAAGAAAAATAATATATTGGAATATATGAGAAGTAATGAATTGAACTCATCGCTAACCCAAAATTTCATGTACATATATATGCTATTGTAAAATGCTTAGGCTCTTTTAAAAAATAAATTCTTAAATAAGCGATCATAAGCCCACCTTTCGACCCTGTATAAACGTCTAGGACTTTAAATAGCGTTTTGATACCTGTTTGTATTTATATTGTTTATTGAGATTCATATTTAGTTTATAACAGGTATATACGTACATACACACATACATATTATAGCCACACACCTGATTAATATACTTCCAATAAAACTACATAGCCTTCCCAATAAAATCTATAATAATAAATATATCTAAATATTAGTGCCGTAAATGTCTATATAAATAGTATAACCAGAAATGATTCCACGATTTTTCAAAAAATCTTTACTATTATTATTGTAAGTGCGAAGTACTTATGTACATATATATGTACAGTAAAACCTCTATAAGTGCATGCCCTTGGGACCGAACTTTAACGATGTGCACTTAGAGAACAATAAGAACAGATGCATTTATAGAGGTCATGTATAGATTTGGACCCGAATTTAAGCATGCATTTAGAGAGGGTGTGCACTTATAAAGGGTGCACTTATAGAGGTTTCACTGTACTTGGTTAAAATTATTTTAGCCAATCAAAATTTTCATATAGGGTTACACTAGTCACATGTTTAATTTGGACTAGGTGCCTATGTCCAATAAAAAAATATAGACTATATGGACATAGTCCATAAATATCCATATCCAATGGTCCATATTGTCCATGTCCATATTTGGCAAACACTGTCTATAATCTAACTAGAAGATTATCTATTTAAACTCTCTGATGTTTTTTGTTCTATATTACCTTACAATTACATTAGTATATAACTTTGTGCTGCTTTAATTAAAAACTATTCAAATCGACATATGTTATACTACTTGTATCTTATTTCTATAGATAATCTTATATATAGGGATAGAGAAGTTTGGTTTAATTTGATTTAGTTTGATCTAATCTTGATTTATAAAGTTAAATCTAAATCAACCAAACTAAGTTAGTTTATATAAACTGTTAAAACTATTAGTTTAAACTAACTTAATTTATATAAACTACTCAAAATATTGGTTTAAACCTAGCTTAATTTATATAAATTTTTAAAAATATTAGGTTAAACTTATATAAGCCAATTAAATATTAATCTTAAGTTAGTTTGATTTAATTTAAATCTAATTAATAACTATATCAGTTTATATAAACTATTAAAAATCTGTTTTAACTTATCAATATTATATAAAAGCTTATAAACTTTGTAGTATACTTTAATTTATCAATTAATATACTATATAACTGTTGTATATTTCAATTAACATAAATAAATAAATTAAAATTTTCTGACTAATTCAATAAAAATAAAAAGTATTTTATAATACTAAAGACCTATGAATTTGGATAACTTATCTTAAATATATAAGCTAATATTATTAAATCAACATGAATATAAATTAAAAGAAATAAATCTTCTACAATAAAACTTCTCTATAAATGTCTTAATTTTGTTTATTTTATTAATTAAAGTTGCAGAAATATATTTTCCTATATAAATTGTAATGAAATCAACATAAATACAAATTAAAAGAAATAAACCTTCTACAACAAAACTTCTCTATAAATTTTCTAATTTTTTGCCTGTTTTATTAATCAAAATTACAAATATATATTTTCTTATATAAATTATAATAAATAATATTTTTATTATTTTTTTTTTTTAATTTTAAAAGGTGAGACCATGCCTCTAACTTTATTGAAATTCAATTGAGTTCCTTTACATGAATTAT